TCTTAAACTTCTAGTCTTTCTAGAGCTGCTTCTTAGTTATCTACTATTATAACAGAATACCACAAGTACACAACTATAACAAACAACTTTATTCTCTCAGTTTTGTAGGCCAGCATTAGGGGGAAATTTTTTCTATCACTTCTGTAGGAAGGTCCTTGTTTCCTTTCAACATCTGTGGATCTGAAATTCCTTGGAGCTCTTCATGTGTCTTGACATCAATTTTTCCTTGTACCTAGGAGGGAGGTTCTCAGTGCAGGGACCCTGGCTCCAAAGGACACGCTACTCTCCTGACTCTTCTTTCTTGGCAGTAATAGGTCCCTCAATCTCTGCTTACTTCTCTCTCCTTTAATCTCATGTAAGATAAAAAATGATTCAGGTCACACTCCAGAGAAACTTCCTTTACATAAAATCATGTCTGTGATAGGATTAAGGATGTGGCATTCCACACTAATTCCTTTAAAGTTGATTGCTGATCGCATGAGACTACATTATGAAGGATGATTACAACATTACATAACTGCCAAACCACTGAGATTCATTGCCCAGGCAAGTTGACACATATTTTGTAGGAACACAATTCATTTCACGACAAGTTGTTTGCCGTCTTTAAAAGAGAAACACATATTTCAGATTTTATTCTTTCCCAGTTGAGAAGTTTACACATTCCTTGTTACCATTTGTCCTTGATAAATACGTTGTTCATATATGTCCCAATTTTTCTGTATATTTTTACATTTTTCTTTAATATATTTGAATTGTTTTACAATCAGGAAAAAAGTCATATAAAAATTAAAATCCTCCAAAAAAGGGCAATATTTCTCTGACATATACCCTTAGAACATAATTGTTGAGATAGGTGGAACTCCACTCAAAATCAAAAGAAAAGCCACTTATCAGAAACCCTATGCAGGTTCACTATGAGTTGTGACTGACCTGATGGTACTTAACAACAACAACAAGGAACACCAGTTAATAGCACTATTCAAATATATGCACCAACCACTAACGTCAGTGATGATAAAACTGAAGAATTCTGGCAATACCTTCAGTCTGAAATTGATCAAATATATACTCACGAAGCATTGATAGTTACTGATGATTGGAATGCAAAAATGAGAAACAAAGAGGAAGGATCAGTAGTTGGAAAATATGACCTGCCTATAGAAATGATGCTGGAGATTTGCAAGACAATTTATCTCAGATGGATCTTGGCAAAAAGCAGAGAATACCAGAAAGACGTTTACTTGTACTTCATTGTCTATGCAAAGGCTTTTGATTGTGTGGATCTTGGTAAACTATGGATAACATTGTGAAGAATGGGCATTCTGTAACACTTGATTGAGCTCATAAGGAAACTGTACATAGACAAGGGACAGTCATTAAAGCAGTACACAGGGATACTCAACGGTTTAAAATCAGGAAAGGTGTGTGCCATGGCTATATCCTTTCACCGTACTTACTCAATCTGTATGCTGAACAAATAAGCTGAGAAACTGGGTAATATGAAGAAAAATATGACTTCAGATTTGGAGGAAAACTCATTAACAACCTGCAATATGCAAATGATGCAACCTCATTTGCTGGACGTGAAGGGAACTTAATATACTTACTGATGAAGACCAAAGACTATTTCCCCTCAGTATAAAGAAAGCAAAAATTCTTACAACTGGACCAATAAATAATATCGATAAATGGAGAAAAGATTGAAGTTGTCAAGACTTAATTTTGCTTGGGTCCACTATCAACATTCATGAAAGCAGCAGTCAAGAAATCAAATTATGTATTGAATTGGGCAAATCTGCACAAGACTGTTTTAAAGTGCTAAAGAGATCAATTTGAGGACTAAGGTGTACCTGACCCAAGCCATGGTGTTTTCCATCATGTCATATGCATGTGAAAGTTGGACAGTGAATAACAAAGACGAATTGATGCATTTAATTCTATTCACTTCAGCATCTCTATGCTGGAGAGCAAGTGTCAGAGTCTCTTATGACATCCACTTTTATCTTTTCTTTCTTTCTTGTCTTTGTAATGATCTTTTGCTTTATTCCTGTATGATGTTCTTGATGTCATCCCACAACTCTTCTGATCATCACTCATTAGTGTCTAATGCATCGAATCTTTTCTTGAGATTATATCTATCTTCAGATGTGATATGTTCAAGATCATATTTTAGCTCTCATGGATTTGTTTTAATTTTCTTCAGCTTCAGTCTGAACTTGCATGTGAACAATTTATGATCTGTTCCACAGTCTGCCCCTGACCTTGTTTTGGCTGGTGACATGAAAGTTTTCCACCATCTCTTTCTACAGATCTAGTTAATTTGATTTCTGTGTACTCTATCTGTTAGGTCCATGTGTATAGTTGTCTTTTATGCTGCTTAAACATAAATCAATCATTGGTTTTACAAAATCCTATCATGTGATCTCCAGCATCATTTCTATCACCAAGGCCATATTTTCCAACTACTGATCCATCATTCCTCTTTGTTTCTAATATTTTCATTCAAATCACCAGTATTATCAATATATCTTGATTGCATGTTTGGTCAATTTCAGACTGAAAAAATTCATAGACTTCTTCAATTTCATCATCACTGGTTTTATTGCATACATTTTAATAATAGTTATAAATTTGTGGATATTAACCTATCACAGACAGCACTATATTTCAAGATAGATCGTGGAATGTTCTATTTGATGATAAATGTGATGCCATTCCTCTTCAATTTGTCATTGCTGGCATAGTACACTATATGATCATCAGACTCAAAATGACCAATACCAATCCATTTCAGCTCCATTTCATTTTTGACAAGTTCCAATTTTCCTAGATTCATACCTCATACATTCCATGCTCTAGTTATTATCAGCTGCTTTCCCTCATTTTGAGTTGTGACCCATCATCAATTGAAGGTCCTGAAAGCTTTATTCCATTTGTGTCATCATAGTCAACTCTACTTTGAGTTGAGGAGTTAGCTCTTCCTTAGTTATATTTTGAGTGACTTTCAACCTGAGGGGCTCATCTTCCTGCACTATATCTGACAATGTTCTAGTTTTAGTCATAATGTTTTCATCCTCTGGCACCGTATCTGACAATATTCTGTTGCTGTTTATAAGGTTTCCAGTGACTAAACATTCAGAAGTAGTCTGCTTCTACTTTTCCTAGTCTGTCTTTGTCTGGAAGCTCAACTGATGGCATAACTTTCAGCATCACAACACACAAACCACCACAGTACAACAGATTGACAGACAAGTGGTGGTTTACTTGCCCTAGGACAGAAGAATCAGATTTCTAGGAGAAGTTGACAAGTTTAATAAAATTACCCATGGAATTTCTCTTTGAAGCTCTGTTGTCTGAAACTCAAATAAGAAGTCAGGAGTGGAGTTAGAAATTTGGTAGGGTAGTTCAGGGGTATACAACACTTATGATGAAAATTTTTAATGCAGAAAGGGAAGAACTTACAAAAATGGAGTGTGAATACATCTTTCCTCAAGCCTTAAGGGGGTCTAAACTTTTAGCAGAGGTTCAGTAGCAATTTGTGCAAGAGAAAAGGTAAAGATTTGTTAAAAGTATAAATGTCGGTATTGAACTTTATTCTTCCAGTCTTCTAATAAGAGTCTACTGTTGCCATTACTAGGATCACTGCTGGTCATTTGTGTGCTCATGAAAGGTAGACCAGATCTGTAATCAGTTGCCTAACCCACAATTGAATGCTACATTTCATGTCAATTATGCCAAACTTGCTCCTACTCACTTGGTAACCCAGAAAAAAAACAATGAGATGCTATCTTTAATAGTTACTTATAGCTTTTCTGAATAGTAGATATAATTTTTGATAAAGTACATTTTATCACATGGAAAGTTTAATATATTTCAATACATCTTTATGTCTCTTCATTTATATCTTGTTTTATAATAAATTATCTTCATTTATAGCCTAGTTTGTAATAAATTATAGATTTTGCAGTATCTATATCTTGTAGTTGCTTTTTATTTCGTTATAAACCTAGTTCACATAAAATAGAAATCTTTTGTATTTTTATCAATTTATTCATAAATCAGTATTAATGTCCTTTTTGTCTCTGAACTATTCAATCTATTTTATAATCTTTTAGTTTTCACATATTTTCTTTGTCATATAAAATTAATGGATATTGTTTAGAAAATAACTGAGGTAGAAAAATAGCTATCATACACACTGAGATATATAATAATTTACATCTTCTCATCTCAAAACACTTGACTAATTTAGAATATTAAAGTTTCCTGAATTTTCTTTCTAATGATTTATCCTACATTTCACTTTCCAATCCTAACTAAATCTAGAAATTTTAGTTAGTACTAACTAAATCTGAAAGTGAATGGGCAAATCCAGATGTTAGGAGGTTCCAATTGTCGAAGATACCTAGGCAATTATTTCATCTTGCTATGTATATGTATATATATAAATCCAATCAAACTCACTGCCATCAAATTGAGTTGGAGTCATGGTAGAACTGCACCATAGTGTCTAAGGCCAAAAACTTTTATGAAAGTAGACTGCCTCAGCTTTCTCCCCTGCAGTGCCTGGTGGTGAATTAGAGCTAGCCGACAATGCTTAACTCAATATATATGTTGTATTCAATTCAAATTCATAGTGACCCTGTATAGACACTGAAAAACTTAGAGAATATGAACATATATACATACACAGTTAATAGGACATACGTCTTTTAGAAACATTACCTAAGAGTCTCCAACATTTTGTTTTAATGGAAAATGTACTCTGTATGTGACAGTTCAGTCTTCACCGAAGTCTTCAATAATGAACAAGATGGACACTACACTCCAAGGCTGGGTTCACTCCTCCTTGGTAGTTTCTTGACCCTTACAGCAATTGCTACGTATGAAAACTAACTGTCTCTGAACAGAATCCTTGCTCACAGTGTATCTTGAAAACACTAACTAAACTGAAATGATTTGTGAAAAGTCTAATTAAAGAATCTAATTTCCAATAGTCAAAATGAACTTGTATTTCCTGACCTCTCCTTGAGACTTAAAACCTTACTAAACAGTCTCCTCATTGCCGCCTTCATCTCCTTATTTCTAAATGTATAGATGATAGGATTCATAAAAGGAGTGATAAGGGCATCAAAGATAGCTAAAAATTTATCTATAGGTAAGGTAGGAAATGGCCATACATATACAATTATGCAAGGACCAAAGAAAAAGACCACCACAGTGATATGAGCTGAGAGAGTTGAGAGGGCCTTGTTTGAACCCCCTGAAGAATGTTGATGGACAGTGACCAGAATGAAGATGTAGGACACAATTAAGATGAAGAATGTGCCCACAGAGATAAAACCACTGTTGGCAGTGACCAAAAATTCTAGTCTATATGTGTCTACACATGCAAGTTTGATAAACCGAGGAAAATCACAATAAAAGCTGTCCATTTTGTTGGGACCACAAAAGGGTAAGTTTACAACAAAAGCCAGTTGGGCAACAGAGTGAATGAGACCAATGGTCCAAGCAACTGCCATAAGAAAAATGCAGCTTCTCAGGCTCATGATAGTCAGGTAGTGGAGGGGTTTACAGATGGCAATGTATCGGTCATAGGCCATGACTATGAGAAGAACCATCTCTGTACCCCCAATAGTGTGAATGAAGAACATCTGAGTAATGCAGCCTTTCAAGGAGATAACCTTACGTTTTCGGAAAAGGTCATAAATCATTTTCGGAGTTGCAGTGCTGGACACACCTGTGTCAATGAAGGAGAGATTTGCCAGCAAAAAATACATGGGGGAATGTAAGTGATTGTCTGAAATTATTGTGAATACAATGAGAAGGTTTCCCAGCATACTTGCTACATAAAACATAGTGAAAAACAGAAAAAGAAGAATCTGCATCTCCCAAGAACTGGTAAGTCCCAGCAACAAAAACTCAGACACCAGCGAATGATTTCCTCCATCCATCAACGCTGTGTGCAAGACTGACCCTGGAGTTACCTGAAGAACATGAGAAGGAGAAAAACATAATTTTTTAGTAGAAAAGGTAGGTCCTGGCTACAGAGAGACACAAATATCAAAAATTAAGAATCATCTTGCCATTTTACACAGCAGCTTAGAGTTCACATAGTAGCAGATCCGCAGAGAGTCAGCACTAGACCTTTATCCATGTCTAGATCTCTGACACCACCTCATTATATAGCTTCAAGTTTAGCTAAGGCTAATATATACTGGGAGTCCTGGAGTTGCGCTGTGAGTTAATGCGCCAGACTGTAAAGCCATTTGAATTGCAAGGTTGGCGGTTCAAGCTCACCAGTTGCTACTTGGAAACCCTATACAGGGTCGCTATGGGTCGGAATCAAGTTAACAACAACAATAATATATACTCAAGAAAGGAGAGTGTAAAAAAAGCACGTAAGAATTTAAGGAGACGCAATCAAGAAGCAGAGATTATTGTTGTCTGATTTCTATGATGAAAAAAAAAAATGCCACAGAATGGAAGATGTGCAAAAAAGCAGAGAGATGTCTGGACAGATACTTCATTTTTTTCTTTTTAATAACTGTTTAATATTCACAGTATGAATAAATTTTTATTTACTAATTCTCTGATGAATAGTCATTTGCTTTGTTGATACTTTTTTTTTTTTTTTTGCTTCTACAAACAATGCTGTAAGTAAATATCATTACATCTATATCTTTGTATGGGAATACCACAGCACAGTATGATAAGCACTGGACTGCAAATGACAAGGTCAGCAGTTCAAGCCCACCAACTGTTCTGCAAGAGAAAGATGAGTCTTTCTGATCCACAAAGATTCACAACCTTGGGAATTCTATACAGGGTCGCTGAGTCAGAACCAATTCAATAGCACTTAATAATACCAACATATCCTTGTCTAATAATATTTTTCTTTCAATAGCATGGATTTGCAAAAGTCAATTTTTAATTTTAGTAGAGTTTCCTGACTGCTTTCCAAAACAATTATGACATACATTTCCACAAGAATCAGTGTTTCCTTGAGTTGCACAAATAATTAAGCACTCAACAGCTAGCCGAGAGGTTGAAGCCCACCAGAGGCACCTCGGGAAATCTTCCTGGTAATCTGCTTCTAAAAGGTCATAGCTTTTTGAGTCCAGGAGCGGAGGACCCTGGGACCATTAAGGGAGAAGAACAGAGTGTGGGACCCTATTCAGTTAAGAAGTGCACCAGAGATGGAGGCAAAAACAATGACATGGAGAAACTCTAGACTCAGGGAGGGAGAGGGACTGTATGCTGATGGCCGGAGGGGCCGGCTTAGGGGGTGTATCATTCAGATGTTTGAATGGTTATATATTCCTGAGTGCTTTGGTGTACATCCAATAAGAAAACAGAGGGAATGGAAGAAAATACTGTTAAATGATGATGCATGGTGGGGATTGCAGTCATTGCAATGAAACAAAATATGATAGGACGAATGTAAAGCTGATGTTCTCCCATGTAAACTATCACCCAATTCACAATATAAACTTTTTTTTTTTTTTTTAAATGGTCATAGCTTTGAAAATCCTGCTGGAACACTTCTTCTCTGGGGTTGCTATGAGTTGGAACTGGTTCAACAGCAACTAACAACAACAACATAGTGGGTGTTAAGTGGTGTCCTTTTGTTAAGCTAATTTTCATTACCTTGACGACCAATAAGCTTGAGCATCTTTCCAAGTGTTTGTTTACGAGAGGTGGGGCTTGATGACGGCTAGGGTGGAAGTGCAGTGAAGTTCGCCGTCAGCAATACCACAGAATACCAGGCAAAGCAGATCCAGGGCAGAGCTCCAAAACTCGGAACCACAGAGATAGGAATATTTTGAAGGTGTGAAAGCTTATAGATTGTGGAACTTGAAGCTGAAGTAAAAAATCGCATACTTTTGAATCTGCCGGGCTGGGCTCTGTGGCCTGGAGCTGACATCTTGGGCAAAACCAAATGCCAAGACCAAACAGGAGAGGAGAAACACCATGGGAAAATGTCACAGGAACCTTGGAGCAAAGGTGGACAATACACTTTGTCAGTTTTGCTTTGTTCTGATTGTCTTTTCTCTTTTTTTTGGTATCTGGTCATTGGTGCACCTACTGTTTGCCCACCTCCATTCTAGTGACTAGAGGGGTGCCTGAGCAAGTGGACATCCCCCCATCCTCATCTTGCCACTGGTGGGTTCTTCTGCCATGCATGTGCACAGATACTCAGCCCAAGAGAAGGCCCTGAAGATTTTTGCTTGTTTGTCTTTTGTTTTGTTTTTTAATACGGGAAAGGGCAGGACAGGGCTGTAGAGAGGGAAAGACAGTATGAAGAAAAAAAACAGGCCAAAAATTAAATTAAAGCCTGAAGTACAGCATAACAACCAACACTGGCATCTTGGAATCTCTCAGGCAGCTTTGAAAGCAAGAAACTGAAGAGAGGACATTAAAGTCATACTTATATTAGGTTACAGGGTTTTTTTGTTTTGTTTTTCTTCTCTCCCTCCTCTCCCTTTTCTGTGATTATAGACTGCAGTATTCAGTCTAGTTTTTGTTGTTGCTGTTTTTTGTTTGGTTTTGTTTTGGTTTGGTTTTTCTCTGTGTTTTTTTCCCCGCTGGTGCTGTTTTGCTGTTATATGCTCCCCCTTCTACCTTTGGAGGACTCTTTCTCTCCGTATATTACACAAGAAGAGTCAGCAACTGCTGCCATATAGTCAAGCTACAATCACACTCTATAAAACACCAAAACCCAGGTGTCAAGAACCAATACCAACTGCCATATACTAGGGAAACAGACAACACCTGTGAAAGTTACTCTGTGTTAAGCAATAAGAAGAGTGAAAAGGAAGCCCACATCCTGATCACATCTCCCTGGAAGCAATTAGAAAGCATAAAAAATACCAAAACACATACTCAATTAAGTATCGAGGCCACAGATAAACACTAAACATGTCCAAGAAGCAAAAGCAGATGACCTTATCAGCACATGTCCAGAAACAAGATAAAATGTCTAGACAAATGACCTAGAGGTAGACATGGACTCCATTTTGGAAGTAGGGCAGGCCTTGGAAATGCCTGAGAAGGAATTCAGAAAAATGATTATAAAATGTTTCAAAGCACTTTACAATGGAGTTGAGAAAAATAAGGAAGAAGTCAGGAGAGTCCTACAGGAACAATCAAATAAGATAGATACAGCATTGGAAACAATTCAAAACCTACAGAAAGAGGTCCAAATGATCAATAACAGAATATCAGAAATA